AATGAAACACCTTACCTCACTCAGATCCATCAAGCAGTCACCTGGTGCTCAGAAAGCAACCTCCTACTTAACACGGAAAAAACCCAAGAAATAATCATCAACTTCAGGCGAAAGCCACAGCCCAAATCACCTCTATCTATCTCCGGCACACTCATTTCCACCACAGAATCACTCAAATTTCTTGGCACTCACATAAGCAATAACCTCCAATGGAAGACCAACACAGACCACATCTACAAAAAAGCCAACCAAAGGCTATTCTTTCTGCGGCAGCTCAAGAAATACAGAGTGAGGAAACATCTCCTNTAAAGCTGAGACTCCACAGATTATTTAAGTATAGTATCATCACTGAGCGATCCGATCTCGCGACAGGGGAAGCAAACACAGATATCAAAACACGTACCTTTACGGAGCTTTTACGGGAGATCGTCTCACCGTAGCTGTCAATCTGATCAAAAGACGTGTTCAAAAGCATTAAAACGAGAAAAACCGCGGCTGAATCGGTTGATCCATAGGTTAATAATGTATCTGTGGCTTTGAAGCAATTGTTTATAATCCATAATTCAATTTTTATTTAAAAATCGGAGCACAAAAGTTAGCTGCTAATGGTAGCCACCAGAGTGTATGCAGCTTCCGGTTTTGGCTACACGTCACTCACTCCTTACAGGCTCTGCATGCACAGCAAACCACCAATCACAATCATTCTTGATCAGATCACAGCAGGCCCCGCCCCNGCCACAGCCCAAATCACCTCTATCTATCTCCGGCAAACTCATTTCCACCACAGACTCACTCAAATGTCTTGGCACTCACATAAGCAATAACCTCAAATGGAAGACCAACACAGACCACATCTACAAAAAAGCCAACCAAAGGCTATTCTTTCTGCGGCAGCTCAAGAAATACAGAGTGAGGAAACATCTCCTAATCCAGTTCTACACAGCCATCATCCAAAGCATCCTCACATCATCCATCACAGTCTGGTACAGCAGTTCAGACAACCGCTCCCAGAATAAACTTCAACGTATCATAAAAAATCACCTGCAGTCCCCTTCCATCACTCGAATCACTTCACCACCAATGAACTGTCACAAGGGCAAAGAAAATCATGTCTGACCCCTCCCACCCAGCTCACCATGTCTTCCACCTTCTGCCCTCAGGGAGGCGCTACAGGTCACTGTCCACCCGCTTCAAAAACAGCTTCTTCCCCTTTGCAATACGGACACTAAATGGACTCTAAATAACCCCAATGAACAATCACAACCCACCACACCTTGAACTTTATGTATATATGTCATGATGTATGTCTTTGCCCTGTGCTGTGTGTTGTACTTTGTATTGTCTGTTTATCGTATGTTGAATTGTACGGAGCCAGCTGTAATAATCTGCACTGCACACGAATTCCACCAGCCTGGCTGTGTGGTCATCAAAGATTCTAATAATTTGTTTTGCTAAATCTCTCTAAAAAGGTCAAATATCACTTGTTTTGCATCAATCTTGATACAGGGTACTTATTATATGTTGTACTTTGGATTCCTAAAGCTTTTAGTAACTAACCCATCATCCAAGGGTAGTTTTCACTATAAGTAATTATGTTGTTGTTGGACAGACACTATAATTTACATTGTTTTACTATGTTCAATCTGAATTTACTTTAAAATAAAAACATCTATATTGATTCTGACTGTTCTACATCCAACTCACAGGTTTATCATTACTTTGAGAAAAAAGATTATTAATGTTCCCCTTTGAGAAGGGAAGATATGGTCATTTGTTCTGGGAATGTCATTTTCGAGCCTGAGACCTGAAAACAGGCTCAGGGCTAAACTGGATAACACATCAAATATCATTTCACACTTGAAATGGATGCAGAGTTTGGTCTTTCATTTCTACAAGATTTCCTTCAACGTTCTTTTCAGAGTTAACCGAAAACACTGTCACTAAAAGGGTATATCATTGGGTATGTCAAAATGAAAATGTACCAATATTATCAACTGGTTTACAATATTTTATATACTTAACACAATTTAAAATGAAACCTTGAAATGGATGTGCAGTGTTTGGTGTTTTATTTCTGCATCTTCACTTAAGATTTCCTTCAAACAAACTGTAGTCCATGTTGTTGTGTATACGCAGTCCTGAATCTACTCTGATGGATGGGTGGAAAGGGCTCTCTATACTAAGTGCAGGTCAAATTGAATATTGAATGCTATTCTATGCTTTGTGATGCAGACACAGCTGAGGAAGGCTCTGAGCCTGAGTGTGTGTGTGGACGTTTACCAGCCGTGGTCCAGACTGTCTCTAGTGGAAGTTGCTGCTCAAAGCCTCAAAACAAACCCTCCTAAAAGTCAGTCTACACTCTCCTTATATTTACCTCTTTTTACTGGCAGTGTCATATCTACACTGTGCTCTCCTTTCCCCTTTATTCAGCAGAGAGAGACACCTCAGAGGCCGGCCTGTCTGTGGTTATGGCAGGAATCCATCAGTCTGCATGTCAGTATGCGTCTGTGCTGCTCAGAGACCAGACGTTTAGCCCTCAGACCTTTCTGGAGTTTATCGCACACTTTCATCACCTCTGCAAACATCTGCACACACAACATCAGAGCAGAGCCAACAGGTAAATATCCACAGGTAGTTCTTCTTCTCTCTGTGTCTCCTGTGTTTGATATGCTGCAGCTCCACTGTAGCCTAAAGAAGATAAGATAATGGACAATTTTGCACTATGTACATTCCCTAACATATTGAAGTGACTGTTATTTTGTTATTTTGATTGTTGTATCTTTGTAATTAAAATGTGTTATCATTTCATATTCCAGCTATTCCTCAAAAAACATGTTTTGGATATCATGCCATTCAAATTTGTAATTTACATTTTAAGAAATTGTAGTTTTGAATGGCATGATATCCAAAACATGTTTTTTGAGGAATAGCTGGAATACGAAATTATAACACATTTTAATTACAAAGATACTTCAAGAAAACCCCCTCACCGGGTCAACAAAGACCCACTTATGCACCTAAGGGTTAGGATAAAACACAACAATCAAAATAACAAAATAAAAGTCACTTCAATACGTTAGGGAATGNTCGGTTTGCGTTCACACGGGACATTAAGGGGGTAAAAACCAAAACGCAAATCCCGGCAATTTCTACCGGAGCCTCCGCCATGGAGCATCGGCAGGTTATTTTCATGCTGTTGTTAATCTGGAGATCAACAGATTCTAGCAACGGCGCATATGATTATATAATCAGACAACGTGCGATACAAAACATTATAACACATATAATGAGAGACGTTCTGCAGTCAGGAGGAGGTTTCACCGACGACAGGTGGCTCTGACTTTTATGTATAGTTTTTAGTTTGATAGTTGTTTTTAATTTACACGACACTGTTCAACACTTCATTCTGCTTCACTCTTTCACTCACGATTTTGAAGACGCGTTCTTTTGACACGTAAATACTACGCTTCCTATGTTTTGGTGCAGACTGCGTTCACACCAGCAATGAACCGCTCCAGAGTTCACTAGCAAGCGCTCCGAGACCACCTATTTTAGCGGACCAGAGTCAGTTTGTTTAGTTCACTTCAGAGGTCTCGGACTGTGTTCACACCGACCCAAACGAACCGCACCAAGCGGCTAAACGCACCAGGGTTCGATTCAACCGGACTATACAAGGCAGGTGTGAATGCGACCTTAATGAATAAGAAAACTTGAGGTGTTTTGTGTAAGGGAACACGTACTCCCACTTCTCATTTGCTGTTTCTCTGAAGCTCAGGAAAAGGGAGGCTTTTGTCAGACAAAGTATTCAGAGCCATCCACCAAAACAAAAAAAAGAAAATACTGATTTCACATTCATCAAGTAAGCATCTGAAAGTCCTCCTTCCTCCTCCTGCAGGTATCGAGCTGACCCTGGAGATTCAGGGGAGTCTGGACCCCAAAGCCCCTCTGAAGGAGTTCATCGCAGCGCTGCGGCAGGGAGAGAAGTTCCAGCAGAGAGTTTCAGAAATCAAAGCCGAGGTGGAGGCCTTCGCCGGCCAGTTCCCCATGCCTGGCCTCCCTGTGCTGTAGAAGCACTGATGGTTATAACAAACATTATGATGCCAAATGTTTGCGGTGTGTTGTTTTGTGTGTATATTTTTTTTGTTAAAATCAGGACAAAGCAGTTCAGCTTTGGCCAGATTTGTCTTAATGGTTAAAAAGAAAGATTTGCAGACTTTTCTTCCCCTCCAAATATCCGTGTTGCAGCGGTGCCTTATCTGTTTTAGAAATGGTTTGCTTTGGTCTTGGATATTTCTATTACATTGAAGCTTTAATCATGGCTGAAATCAACATTTATTTTGTAATCTAATTACAATTCCAAAGTGTTCTTACCGACTGTACTGAAGATGAAAGCACACAGTGTGCATGTGTCATATACTGTAAACTTATGTGAAGTAATTAATACAATTTAATAAATGAAGACTGCTTTTTCTTTGACTGAAATACTTAATATTGTTTGTTGAAATTAACAATACCAGCAGGTTGTCTATCTGAAATGCATTAATCTGTGAAGATGCTGCCTGAAGTGTCAAATGAAGAAGACAGAATGTTATTTCCAAAATAAACTGTTTTCCACACTACAATTATCAAGTGTTGTATTTGTTTCATAATTCATACAAGAAATCACTCAATTGTGTGCACTAATTGTAATTTCCCCCTTTCATGAAACCTCCCGGCTGAGGCTCTATATATTTCTTCTGTCAGCATGCAGACAGAAAGTGGCATTTGGAATTTAAATGTAGACATTGATAATTCAATAAGTGTGAAAAAAGTCAATCAATTATGGTGGTGGAACTTATGACACATTCAACTCTTCATCACTTTCTTATTTATCTTGCTTGTTATTTTTTTTCTTCCCAAAACATATTAATACATTATTATAAGCCAGTAAAAAGGCACCACAGTTTGATGTGAGCTCCACTCGATGATCGTTTAGTGATGCCTTGAATCCGTCAGGTCAGAGGTCAGGCCGCGCGCCTTCCATCCTTCTGCTGTTGAGAATGAGCAGTTTGTAACTAAAAGCAACAGACCGACTCATGTGCAGGTTTCTCTAAAACAGACAATCAAAGCTCGAAAGCACAGCAGCTTTTCTGGTTCCTCATCAGGGAGCACGCTTATTGTTTTCTTATCGCTTAGCCTAGCTAGCCAGGTTAGCCACTTTAGCTGGAGAACTGGAGAAGAAGAAGCTACTTAGATAGCTCAACCGCTAGCTAGCTAACCGAAAACGGATATTTCTTACTTTGAGGAGCACGAAAGACTCTCGCAGACATGCAGGACCTCCTGGCCACCGTGGATCACCTGAAGTTTGACCTGGAGCTGGCCATGCAGCAGCAGCTCGGGGCTCAGCCTCTGCCTTTCCCCGGCATGGACAGTAAGTGCTCGGATGCTAGCTGGTAGTTAGCCGCTGTAGGTGAACTATAGTCTATAGACAACTGTTGACCTTAGCTTTATGTCTAATGTATTTATTAAGGTTGTAATAATACTGTGTGTGTTTCTGCAGAATCCGGGTCTGCTGTGTGTGAGTTCTTCATGAGAGCAGCTTGTGTGAAAGGTAAAAACACAACATGACAACAATCACACACTGTACTCCCATCAAAGTGTGGGTATTGACAACAGATGGATTAAAAACATGGTGGTCAAATCTGAAGCATTAGTTATTCTGACTTTTATCTTCTAGAACTAGTAAGCCTTCAAAAATACTGGATCCTACATTTCCCATAATGCCGCCATTGTAAATGCATGATGTTTATACTCTGTTAGAGTCCAAAACCACCCTGTAATGGTTTCTATTTACTTTCAAAATAACCTAAAATACTGGTACACCACACACTACTACTGCACTTGTTTAAAATGTTATACCATAAATAGGTATCCTGGAAATTCTTATCTACCAGTTGTGTCTGTAGAGGCCTTGTGTTAGATCTGAATACACAGGGTTTTTCACCAAAAAAAGGGATTCAAGACAAATGTCACAGTTATGTTGACAGTGGAAACTTAATCTGTACAAATGTTTTTTGATGTACCGATTATGTTTTGCATCCACTTCCCATAATGCAGCCATTGTAATCCTTACATTTAATAAGAACCTTTCAAAAAAAAAATCCAAGCAAGGATAAGTACTCAGATAATGTATGTATTCAGATATGAATGGAAATCCACAGTTCACAAATACAATAAATACATTCTACAGTACACTACATGCTTTAGATTCTTCCAGTTTAATTGTATAGTGTTAATATCATATTGTTTTGTCTGTTATTATTTTGAAAATGGAAATGAATACACTCTAAGTCAGGGGTCTCAAACTCAAGGCCCGGGGGCCAAATCCAGCCCGCCACTTTATTTTATGTGGTGCACGAGCTTGCAAAGATTATAATATGTTTATTATAATGTTACGTGCCAATTTACAGGAGCACGTTGCCCATAAACTACATGTCCCACAATGCATCTCATTTTGTGAGATGGCACTGAAGAGACTTTTTTATTTGCAATTATTTGCCCTAGACTTCTGCTTTCAGACTTAGTTAATTATGAAGTTATTACCCTATCCGATAATAATCCAATGCAGAGGAAATATTGTAAAATACATTATTTTGTATATATATATTTATATAGTATTGAAGTTACTCCGGCCCTTTGAGTGCAACCATAATTATAACGTGGCTCGCGATGAAATTGAGTTTGACACCCCTGCTCTAAGTGATTGATAACAAATTAAATTACCCGCTGAAAATGTCCTTACCTTTTTTTAAACCAATCTAATGGGAGCAATGATCTGCTTCACAATAATATCCTCTATGTGATTCATTCATTAGCAAACATCAAGACTGGATGCCCTGTAGTTTTTATTCAGAAAAGTTGTGCCGTCCTTTGTGTCCTATTTTTGACTTGTTTACCCTCCCAGGTGGGATGTGTCCGTTCCGTCACATCAGCGGAGAGAAGACGGTGGTGTGTAAGCACTGGCTCAGAGGACTGTGTAAGAAAGGAGACCAGTGCGAGTTCCTCCACGAATACGACATGACCAAGATGCCCGAATGCTACTTCTACTCCAAATTTGGTCAGTTGACTTGATGTCATATAAAATACATTAGATTATAACTGTTGAACAGCTCCTAATTGATCAAATCACTGCGTGTATTTGTCCCTGTTTTATAATTCTTGTGACGACCCTTTCAGGTGAGTGTAGCAACAAAGAGTGTCCCTTCCTGCACATCGACCCAGAGTCCAAGATCAAAGACTGTCCCTGGTACGACCGAGGCTTCTGCAAACACGGTACGACCTGCTCACAAAACATCCCTGCAGTACTGATAGTTTTACCCCCAAATATACAGTTTGTATGGAAGCCCATTCAAGCCAGAAAAAGAAAAACGTTCTCAAAATCATGACTTGAAATCAAAAGATTGTTACCAAACTTTTTTTTAGGTTTTAATTTGACAATATATAGACAATAATTTTACTGTGAAACTTTAACATTATTTAAAGAGTTTTTTAGATACTACGTCATTATTTTGACCCTATACCATTATTTGAACTGACTACTTCATTATTTTGATAAGTTTAACAGTATTTTAAGAAACAAAGTCATTTTTTTGTTGAGATACTAGGTAATTTCTTCCAAAAAAAAATATAATGTTGAAACACTAAGTATTTAGTCATTATATAGATACTTATAGAGAGGCGAAGTCCCTCCCTTTCCTCCATGGGACCTTATTTCGGAAAAAGTATGTATTGAAGTCAATGGAGAGAGAAAGATTATCTTTCGATCCCGTTTGAATTGTGCCACGAATTAAACATATGATGATTGTCAATTTTTAAAAGATAATTTTACAAGTCAAACAAATAAAAATGTGGCGTAAAAATGTAAAGTAACACTTTTTTTGTGTGAAACCGCTCAATGAACTACATCTCCCGTCTCGCACCACACACCAAGACGGCCGTCACGTTGGCACATTTCACTTCTGTCTCTCAGAATGAGGCGAAAAGTATTAAAAGAGGTGAAAATCACTCCAAGTCTGGGCATGTTGAGAGCTGTACACACACACAAGGGGAGTTAGTCGGTTCCGTGAGAGCCAGCATGCGGGACCGGGATTCTGGGATTTGTAGTCTTTCTAGTTGCGTATTTTTCATAGTCTTATATTTCAAAAGTTTTACAACAAACTGTGACTTTTTTGACATGGAAATAAATTTTAAGATTGACAAACATCATATGTGTAATTCGTGGCAATCAAACAGGATCGAAAGATACGTTTCTCTCTCCATTGACTTCAATACATAATTTTTCCGAAATAAGGTCCCATGGGTCGGAAGTAGATGGGCGGGACTTCGCCTCTCTATAATAAAAGAGATGGATAGAAAAGAGATGGATAGAAAAGAATGGACGAAATCATTTCAATGAGAAACTAAANTTTCAATCACAACTGCAAATTTCAACTTTCTGGTGTTGCTAAAGATAAAACAGGAGACCCGAGACAGAAGGACTCATCCTTTGGGGATGTGTACAAAATATGACCTTACCCTGTTGAGGAGTTGTGGAGATATTTCACTACTAATAAATGTTGTGGACCAATAGAGGAACATTAATACTCGATACAGCAGTTTTAAGGTAATGGGAAGATTGTGGTTAAAATAATGGTTAAATGGTGACAACATATAAACTATTGCACATGGCCCATAGACTGCATGTTGTTGTGGCTCCCTGTACAAAGGCCACACCGCTTCTAGCATTGTCGTTGTGTAATTGTCAAATACCATTCTTTAGCATTCTCGACTGGATTAGCATGCACCCTGTTAACAATTAAAAAATCACCTGTAGTCCCCTTCCATCACTCGAATCACTTCACCAACGAACTGTCACAAGGGCAAAGAAAATCATTTCTGACCCCTCCCACCCAGCTCACCATGTCTGGGTGGGAGGGGTCAGAAATGATTTTCTTTGCCCTTGTGACAGTTCGTTGGTGAAGTGATTCGAGTGATGGAAGGGGACTACAGGTGANCATACTTCAGCCAGAGGGGATGATGTCATCTCATCACTGTCTGTCTTGCTGTCTGTCTGTCTGTCTGTCTGACTGACTGACTGACTGACTGTCTGTCTGTCTGTCTGTCTGTCTGTCTGTCTGTCTGACTGACTGACTGTCTGACTGACTGTCTGTCTGACTGACTGACTGACTGTCTGACTGTCTGTCTGTCTGTCTGTCTGTCTGACTGACTGACTGACTGACTGACTGACTGTCTGTCTGTCTGTCTGTCTGTCTGTCTGACTGTGTGTCTGTCTGTCTGACTGACTGACTGACTGACTGACTGTCTGTCTGTCTGTCTGTCTGTCTGACTGACTGACTGACTGACTGACTGACTGTCTGTCTGTCTGTCTGTCTGAGTGTCTGACTGACTGACTGACTGTCTGACTGTCTGTCTGTCTGTCTGACTGTCTGTCTGTCTGACTGACTGACTGACTGACTGTCTGTCTGTCTGACTGTGTGTCTGTCTGTCTGTCTGACTGACTGACTGTCTGTCTGTCTGTCTGTCTGTCTGTCTGTCTGACTGTCTGACTGTCTGACTGTCTGTCTGACTGTCTGTCTCTCTGTCTCTCTGTCTGTGTGTCTGTGTGTCTGACTGTCTCTCTGTCTCTCTGTCTGTGTGTCTGTCTGTGTGTCTGACTGTCTGTCTGTCTGTCTGACTGTCTTTTGTTTTTGTTATGTTTGTTTCTACTCCTGTTCTTCTTTGTAAAGCGACCTTGGGTCTCATGAAAGGCGCTATATAAATCCAGGTTATTATTGTTATAGTATCTATAAATATGATGCCATTTTTAAATGATTCTCGATATTGGAGGATTTCATAATTTCTGCATCATTCATATTATCTTTTAAATATATTTTAAAAAGATTTAAATACATAAAATGAATATAAATAAGAAAGCATAGAATATATTTCCCCAAACTACAGCTTTACCATATTATACTTAACTCTATTTTACGGCGAAATTCACATAATAATAATACACTTTATTTATATAGCACCTTTCATGCTCGACGCAGTATGACAACAAATCACAATAACAAATGAGGAACATAATTAAAATATGTAAAAACAATAAAAACATGAACAGTGAGACTATTAAAAATGATAAGCCAAATTAAAAAGATAGGTCTTGAAATTTACTTTGAAATTGAGGTTGCTGTTCTAAGATCAAATGGGAGCGTTGGGGCGTTATCAAAACCGAAAGCAGCCTCTCCAGTTTTCTAGGTACTTTTAAAAGTGAAACATTGGAGGGATCTAAGCGTCCTCGTTTGGTTGATAAAAAAAGAGAGACAGTCACTTAAATATGTTGGGGTAAGATTATGTAAAGCATTGTAAATCATTAAAAGCACATGACTCACCTTGTAGCAGGTGACCTGGTCCAGGGGCCGGGGCCCTCTGTTGCCCCCCATGTGGTTCTGATGATGAGGAGGAGGACCCATCGGCATGTGGTTCTGTGGGCGCATGCTGGGACCGGAGTTGGTCAGCTGGATGAGAGAGAGCGACGAGCGGCCGATGGTAGGAACCGGCTGCAGCAGGAAACACGGAGAGACACATGGTTTTTACTCTTCAGCAGAGGTGGGAAGTAGTGGAGTACAAATACTTCGTTACTGTACTTAAGTACATTTCTCTGGTATCAGTACACAACTTTTTACTTTGACTTTTTACATGTTGAACCCAAATAGCTGTACTTTCTACTTCTCACATTTTCCAAACAGGCTGGTTCCTTTAGTTTGAATGTGTGTTTGGTGGCGTGATCATTATTATTTAGAGTCATTGCGTGCCTATTGATTTGAACACGATCCGTGTATCCATCATTTCCTGGTCTTCTCTAAAGAAGAGGGACCAATGAAAACGTTGTCATGTTGCCGTTGTTCAGCATGGAAACATTCATTAGCTAACAATGACATTATTGTTCTATTAATATAAAGGGAGGTCAGGTACTCTTTAAAACAGCTGCTAGTGATGGGTACTTTTTACTTAAGCACATTTCAAAGCCTTTTGACTTGAGTAAAGAAGTTTAGTCAGTACTTCTACTGTCACCAGAGTATTTTTAAACACGAGTATCTGTACTTCTACTTGAGTAAAGGATGTGTGTACTTTTGCCATCTCTGTATATATATATCCGTCAGAGTGAAAAAGCTTACGGTGTCGGTGAGGCTCTCAGCCTGGATCTTCTGGTCTTTGAGCGCCTGCTGCAGGGCCACGATCTCCGCTTGGTGCTCCTTCACCGCCTGCTCCACCGCCAGACGAGACTCCGAGCTGCGCTGCTCTGAACGAAGCCTGGAGCGTGAAACATAAATACATTGTTTATAAAGTTACTTTAAAGAAGCCTTATTAGGTTTTGGCCGGTTTTCCCTTTCCGGTAGTGTGTTATATAGGGGTTAGTGCATGTAAATGGTCTGCAAATCCCTCCCTCCAGAGGAAGTGTATATTTCCCCGAAAAACACCTTTATTGGACTTTTTTTACTTCCGGGAACATAATTACATCACTATGGAACACTCGCTATTGGATAGCCTAAGGGACGGGACATATCTAAGTGGTTCACCAATCATGAATTGAGAATAGATCCGACCCGCATCTTCTTTGTTTTACCCAGAACCGAACCCGAATTTTTTTTTGGAAAAAATACCAAACCCGAAACTCTTTTTTTTCTGATCACCCGACCCGATGCAGGACTCTGGTCTGCAGCTGTAAATGCTAATGAGCTGCTGCTGGCCACGCCCCTCTGAGAGATGATTGGTTAAAAAGAACACAAAGGTGCTCTAGGAGGAGATTNATAACAAAAACAAGACAGACAGACAGACAGACAGACAGATAGACAGACAGACAGACAGACAGACAGACAGACAGTCAGACAGACAGTCAGACAGACAGACAGACAGACAGACAGACAGTCAGTCAGACAGTCAGACAGTCAGACAGACAAAACAACAAATAGATTAGGAGCCAAAGGCCTTAGCAAACCGATGGGACTTGAGGGCCCTTTTTGAAGGCGTCAAGCACGGGGATGTTGAGGATCTCCGCAGAGGGTGGGGTCTGACAAGGGTCTGTCCCCGAAGGTTCGCGGGTTGGTGCGGGGAGTGGTAAGCAGGCCGGAGTCTGAAGACCGCAGGTTCCGGGGTGGGGCATGTGGGCGGAGGAGGTCCGATAAGTACTGGGGGGCATGGAGGGACTTGTAGGTGAGGAGGAGGACGACTTTGTAGGTTATGCAGGGCTTTACCGGCAGCCAGTGGAGGTGGATGAGGGTGGGAGTGATGTGCTGCCACGGCTTTGTATGTGTGAGTACCCTAGCAGCACAGTTTTGAACATACTGGAGCTTGTCTGTTCAAAACTGTGCTGCTAGGGTACTCACACAATAGTCCCAATTAGTTATTTTGTACAGATTGTGCAGTCCAAATTGTAACCATAATGATAATACATTCAGTAAGCCAGTGTTTAACTGCAAACTCTGTTAACACTTCACTCACTGTTAGTACAGAAAGTAAATTACATAAAACAGGTTATTGATCTTGTTTTATGAGGTTTTGGTATTTTCAGTTGTTGTGCTAAGCTACACTAACTGGCTCCAGCTACATATAGACTGTACAGGCACGAGAGGCATTGTTTTTTTTTTCAAATAACTCCAGGCAAGAAAGCAAAAAGGTGCTTTTTCTAATATCTGCTTCTGATTAAGAGCCATTCATGTTTTGTTTTCTTGTACTCTGTGTCTATAGTGCGGTGAGAAGGGCCACTATGCCAACAAATGCACTAAAGGACACCTCGCCTTCCTGAGTGGACAGTAACCTCCGGA